AGGCCCCGGCTTGGCAGAAAGTTTTGTCCCTCTCTTTTCACTCTTATTCCACTGTGGTCGGGGCACAAATCCCCTCATCATCTCAAAGAAAACACTAAAGGCAGCATAGCCTCGTAAAGCCTCATTAGGCTTAATAACCTTTAGTGAGCACACAGTCCACACAGTCGACACTGAGTGTTGTGTGTGTGTGTGTGTGTGTGTGTGTGTGTGTGTGTGTGTGTGTGTGTGTGTGTGTGTGTGTGTGTGTGTGTGTGAATGTGTTCAGTGTGCGTGTCTTCAGAGAGCAGGGCTAGCTCAGAGCCACAATGCGTCTTATTCAGCAGGGTCCCTGGATTAAAATGTAATTTCATTCAAAGTTGCAAATTGGGTTTTTTACTGTACTAATCTTCATTTTACTAAGCAGAATGAGGTATGTCATTAAAAAGAAAAAGAAGTGACTTAATAAAAGAATACAGGATGGATAGATTGCAGAGGGGGAAGTAGATGAAAGAATCGTGACTAACACACAACACATGAACGTATTTAAATGGTGATTTGATTTGAGGGAAAAAGGTTGATGACGATGACATCTGCAGTTTAGTCATTCAGCTAATGCCATGATTCAGAGGGACTTGAGAAATAAACTAAATAGTTTCACATCAAATAGAAACTAATATCAGAGTAACAAGTGCAAGGTGCCAATAGGAAGCAAACACATATGCCTTTGAATTGTAAAGGCATATGTAGACCTTGATCGTTCTGGTTAAAAGCCAAATCAGGTAAGAAGTAGACTCTGAAAAACATGAATAGAAAGCTCTTTTTCTTTTGAACTACAGAGAGAACATTTAAGTGCATGGTATTTAGAATCATACTCTTTGAAATACAGTCCTGTGCATTATGCTTTATGGATATATTTGCAGACCAAATGAGGGTCTGTGAGTGAGCCACAGGAACAAAGCCTCCACTGTGGAGAAATGACAAATAATGAATTCACACCATACCACCCCTCGCACCCAATCACATTCAGGAATCAGCAAAACCATTTTCTCCAGGCCTCCCTGCTAATACATTTCCGAAATAGAAATCATGATCCACAATATCATTTTCTGTGATACTATCAGTGAATCGAAAATGGTTTGGTTAGACCCAATTGAAACAGGCATTGGAAACGTGTGGAGATTTCATACGCGTCTTTTTCAATTAAGTCGGCAGGGAAACAATTTATTTCATTCCATAATGACTCCACAAACGCATCCTAACATACTGGCAGAATATAAATGTTTAAACCCATATAATTTTTTTGGGGGGGGTTACGAAATGTTATTTATGATTATTTTTAATGAAACATCAAATACCCTCAATTTAATTCCTTATCCATGTTCCATGAGAAGACACTGATGAACTAATCACCTGCCCAAATGTCCATAATGGCCCTGATGGGAGTTAGAAAGCCATTTACTTCTTCCTTCCCCATCCTTCCGCCTGTCCCCCTTTCCCTCCATTCCCCATCCTCCCTGCTATAGATGAACAGGAGAGATTTACAGTTAGGGGTCACACACTGGTTCTAATTAGCTTAAGTAGGTTGGGAGGAATAAGCACTTCCTTGCCGAGATGCATCACCAAGTCCCACAGCTCCTTCTGACTAAGCAA